TCGCTCGTTAGCGAGCAGAAACTCGTCCAAGTACAATTGTAATAAGTTGCAGTTGTCTAATAAGAACTCGCACACTATGTCTAATAAGAACTCTCAGATAACCACACTGAGTGCTGGTTATGCCCCTTGAGGCTGGAGTGTGCCTTACTGCCTTTCATTGCTTTGTTGTGGACGCCTTTCACATTTGCCTTGGCTTTATTTGCTTTCCAGTTGACTGAATTGGTCGAAAGTGAGTTTGCCATCGAATTCAAATGGAACTGTGTGTGAATTTATTTGCCAAATCGCCTTCTAATATGCACACAGCACGCCCCCCTCATAACCAACACAAAGTGAATTTTCACTAATGGGCAGATGGCGTGTGCACCCATAACTAGCAGGACAACTACTTATCCCCAGCTCACGATCCCTTTCTCCCTTTCGTTTCAAACGGACCGCAAAGTCTCTCAAAGTATACCCATTTTGAGCTGACATTTATTCAATTTGACAACGTCCACCTATTCAGTTTTACAAAATGGACGCATGAAAGCAAAACCTTGAATCTGGGAGCTAATAAAGAAAAATAACCTTGTCTTTGTTGTGACTTGGATTAAATGCACTTGTGCGACATATTTCCATAATTAAGCTTTTTTTTTACGATGGTTCTCATGGTAACGAAATATTAGGAGCATATTAAATGTCGAGGCATTGTTAGCTACAGTTAAGAAATAATATACGTGGAACTTCCACTCGGGGCATCCATTTAATTAACAATTCTTGTTTATTGTTAATTTATTATGCTTTCAGTACAGCTCTTTGTTGAAAATAAGCAAGTTCTGCTGGTGTTGAACTAGCGACTTTTCGACCGACTTCCATTTATTAAAACATTTGTTTTAGTTCTAATTACTTATTCTTTCAACACTGTTTAAAATTGGCAATTGCTGCTTGAGTTGAATTGGCCACTTTTTGGCTTGCTAGTTCGACGCTCAGACACATCAGCTAATTTTCAACAAAAATAGAAGTTGCGGAAAGTTTAGATATTAATATTTACAAGTGAGTGTTGATTAAGTGTATGTCACTTAGTTACTGTGAATGATTCATGTGCTTATATGAATATAAGCTTGAGTGCTTGTCTTATTCACAGTCACTTTTGACATTGGGCTGCAATTTCTTGCTATGATTGTTCATTCGTTTCTTGGTTCACCATCCTTTTGTCTTGCCACATGCCCCATGCCATATGCCGCATGTCGCATGCCACATGCCGCATGCAATGAGATGCATGGCGAGGACCCCGTGCGAGGACCCTTGTACTTAACCTCCAGCTGCAGTGGCAGGTACTTCTTATTCTTATTTCTATTCTTGCCTTCGCACAGCTTTTTACATGCCGTGCAGCTTTTAGTAATGGGTCAACGAGTCTGATGTTTTTGCATATGCAAGAAACTGTTGCGGATCGTTCCTATGATCGATACGCCCGGTTCCAACTGGGAGACAGACAGGAAGGCAATTGAGGCTAGCTGCTTCTGACAGAGAATATAGGGAATATATGCCAATTCGGCCAGTTTCTGCGGTGAATGGCAATAGCAGAATACCATATAAAGAAATATAATTTGAGGCTTATCAAGCGGGCGGTTTCTATAACTAATTATGGCTGAATACAGGGTAGCTGCTAGTCAGGCGCTGTCTCAAAGAGCACGCTGTTTCGCAAAGCAGGCGGGGTAGCTGCAAGTACAGGGTAGCTGCTAGTCAGACACTTGTTTGTCGAGTGATTGCCCTTCAGCCGCCGTAGGCTGTCTGTGGCTTACTTATTTGTTGTCTGCTTATTTGGGCATGTTCATAATTCAATGCGCAAGTATGTGTGTGTGTAAGTGTGAGTGTGAGTGTGTCTGTGTGTTTGTGTACATGTGTGTGCCAGTGTTTGTGTTTGTGGATCATATAAAGCAATGAGCTGCAATTCTTATAAAATGGGCCAAGTTGTTTTTTGCCTTTTTCCATTTGGCTTTAATAAAAAGTTTGCATGCCTCAATTCAATGGAAAGAGCTGTGGCATATCTATTCAATATAGCCTCCCCCTCAACCTACGGCCCCCCAACAGTCCCCCCTCCCCCTTTCTGCTGTTGCTCTTAATAACCACTAATTAAATATTAGACATAAATGAGAAAATTTGCGCATAGCTTTTTAGACGCTTCTCGCCCAGACTTGGCATGGCAATTGAGGTTAGACGTGGATGAGAGATGGTGTGTGTGTGTGTGTGTGTGTGTGTAGAAGGAGTGCGGGTAGTGGGTGGAGGGGGTGTGCAGGTTGGGTGGGCATCGCACGCCTGCTCCTCCCTTCGAGTTCTGCGCTAAACGCTTAAAACACTGCGATTCCATGGTCTCTGGCATATTATGCCCCCCTGAACAGTTGCCCCTCGAGTGTTGCCACGCCCACAAAGCGTCCGGTAACGTTTTGAATTTTTTTTTTGTTTTTTAATAAACTTGGGCCAGGACCAAAAGCGGAGCACTGACACTTGACATCATTCGTCTACCGTCGAGAGCCAGCGAATGTTTCGCTATGCGCCACACATACCCACACACACACGCAAACACACACACACACACACACACACACACACACACACACGCAAACACACACACACAAACATACGCATACGGAGCACTTGTAAAAACTTCCGGCAACGCCTTTTAAATTGGCCCGCCGGAAAAAGTTACTGCTAGTTGGCGGCAAATTTGCAAATTTGCAACATCGCAAAATTAGTGTGCATTATATTTATTTCAATTTTTGCAGTTTTTACTTATTTTTTTTTGCGGGCCGTTGACCTTTGCCCTCTGTTCGAGCAATCGACAAAGGCTGAAACTTTATTGCCAGTGTATTGACGGACTGCCAGAGGGGCCAAGTGCATTGCAAAAAACGAGGCACGAGCCGAGGACCAAAACCAAAACCCAAAACTAATTTCAAAATACAAAAACAAATTTGAGCTTGGAATTGAATTTGCGGTTGCGGCTGTCTGACACTTTCTCTGTCTATCCATCCGTCCATTCGTCCATCCAAAGGCAAAGCTTCTGTCTCTTAACTGTGGATAGCTTTGTCTTAATTTTTTCTGCTGCTGATATTTTCGTTTAGTTTCTAGCTATAAAATAGCTAAAATAAAATGCTGAAAATTTATTCGCAACTTCTCTCAAATATTCTTCGCTTTTGCTGTTTGACCTCTAATTTCTAGATTATATTCGTGGCATGTTCTTGTTGGAGGGTATTTGATAGTTGTGTATACCCCGGCACGAATATAAAAGGAAAATTCAATTAAGTGCCCCAAAATGAATTTTAATTCATTAATTGTGTACTTGATTCAGCTGCGCTCAGCTGTGATGCTTGAACCAGCGACCTTCAACCTGACATCGATGCTTTGACGACAGCATCTCAAAAAGCTTGACAAGTCCCAAATTCATAGTGCTTAGTTCGCAGCTCGCAGTTCTCAGTTGTTGGCGGGTGGCTCGAGTTTCGTTCCGCAGCCGATTTTCTTTCGTTGGGCGCTTCGTTGACAGCCAAAATAACCGCAGTCCGTCCATTTGCAGTGCATAAAATTTGAGCGTAGATTCTTCGACCGAAAACCGCCATTAAAATAACTTTTCAACTTTCGAGGTGAGGATGGGCTGGACTGGGCTGAACTGGGCTGGGCTGGGCTGAGCTGGGCGGATCGAGTGGGTCGGGCTTGGGAGTCTCTTGGCCGGAGCCTGGCCAAGTGGCAGACGGGCACTGAGTCGCGCTCTGAATGGCCAGCGGCGTGGCAACTTTTCAAATTTAGCCGCTCGGAAAGAACTCAACGCGCAAAACACGTAAAGCTCCCAGCCCCCAGCCTCCAGCTCCTTGCCCAGTCTCCACACTTGCCCCCTCCCCATTTCACACGCGGTGTATACAAAATGCTCGGCGCGCTTTTGTTCCAGTTTTTTGTTGTTGTTGCACTTATGGCATGGGCGCAATCAAGTTAGAGTACTGCAATCGGTAGTGCCGGACTAGAAGATACCCTGGAGTCACACCAATATACACAGACAGACGGGTAGCCGTACAGCGGGACGAAGCAGACTTTATCGAGCCAGCTCGTCGACCTTATCAAGAATATATTTACTTTGTGGTTTTACATAAATTTGCCCAAAATCATTTGAGCCTTTTTTGCACATTTTTAATGAGTTCAGGCTCTGAAAAATGAATACAATTAAATAAATAGAATTATTTAATACAAAATTGGGCACAAAGCAGGCCAAATTAATTTCAAGGCACATTTTAGTTTACTTTTAGCTGAGGTTTTGGAGAATTCGATCCGCGATTAGTCAAAGTTTTTTTTTTTTTTAAGAATAAATGACGTGAGCCTGCGTTGTTGAGATGTTCAGGCATTGTATATACGAGCAGCAGGTCCAAAAGCAATTCTTAATTTTTGAAAGCTGATAGACAGCACAAAGTAGACGATTCGAATCCCCATTGAGAATAGGTGAAAGATGAAAGAAGCTTGCTGGTAATTTCCTCCAGTCGATGTTAAATGCTTTTTCCGAGCTGAACTTTCTTGGTTTTAATTGCCGGTTCAACGTCAATTTTCAATTCAATTATTCCTGTGAACTAAAAAGCCGACTCACATAAAATTGCTTTCAATTTTATCTAGTCTATGTTAAATACAGGGTATCTGAGTGTCGAGTGTTTTGCAGAGTTGAACTTGTTGACTTTAATCAATTTGACAGTTGTTTCTAGAGACGGGAAGAGCTCATTGTTCGAATTCTTAAGCCATTCAACAGTTGAGCGTCGTAATTGTTAAGTCAGCGCACACCTACACACCTACACACCTACACACACCAATACAGGCATACACTTGAACACACTTTGGCGACTTCCGCTTAAAACTTCATACACACTTTTCTCCATTAAGTTCTTTTAAGTTCTTCATCTCGTTTGGCTTTACTTTTTGTTTTGCGCTCGTCGTGTTGCCTGCTCTTAGCTCTAATTACTTGATGTACGTCTTCTATTGCATGTTACGTGGTTTAGTTCTACGAGACAATAAAAAAAATAAAGAAAATGGATACCAAAATGGATGCGCGTGGCCAGGGCCAGAGTCAATTTCCGGCTTCGTTTCCGGATACGTTTAAGAATTTCTTTGAATTGATGAATGAAGATGAGGATCACTGCGAACTCTTTGCCAATCTGCTGGAGGATAAGGTATAGCCTAGCCTCTGAGACCTCTCAATTCCTGCACAAACCCCGACCCACCCCCTGCCCCCGCTCGTTGTGTCAATATTGATGTCGCAACGTGTCTTGCACTTGCATCTCGTATTGAAATTTGTTTCTCTTCCATTTTACCACTGCATCTTCCAGGTAATTCCACGCAACAGTATAACAATGAATGCCCAGCGGCAACGCTGCGGCGGTAGCCTACGTAGCCACCATGTTGGCCGTTCCAATTCCCATTTTCAGCAGGCGCCATCGCAGCGTCGACAACAGATTCTTTTACAGGGGGGACCTCCCCGCAGCCGTAGCGGCAGCAGTGGTGACATGACATTAACGATGACCATGACCATGGCTGACGGTCAGTCATCATCTGTTGTCAGCCCTGGAAATGGTCATCGGTTCATGGAATACACCGGGGGTCGTTCCGCTTCTTATCGCTTGAATCGTGCGCGTCGCAGCTCTCTGAGCTCCAGCGCAACCGGCATTAATCGCGTTGGTTTCTGTGGACTTGGCTCCACCAGCTGCTCGAGCAGTAGCAGCAGCTTAATTAATGTGGACGACGAGCCAGTGCATCACGTCCACAGCCATCATCATCATCGTCGTCACCATAGGTGCCGCAGTTGCAGCGGCTCGCTGCACAATTGCAGCCACGGTCTCTGTACCCATTCGCAGCCACACTCTTCCGAGCGCAGGTCGTCGACACACCTGGGCTCGGATGTCCAGCAGGAATGCAGCCTGGACCCAACTAACGCCAATCTATCTCAACAGCCACTGCAGCAGCAGCAAACGCAACAGCAACAAATGCAACAGCAACAAATGCAACAGCAAGAAATGCAACAGCAACAAATGCAACAGCAACAAATGCAACAGCAACAAATGCAACAGCAACAAATTCAACAGCAACAAATTCAACAGCAACAAATGCAACAGCAACAAATGCAACAGCAACAGCTGCAGCAGCAACAGCTGCAGCAGCAGCAGCTGCAGCAGCAGCAACTGCAACAGCAGCAACAGCAACAAATGCAACAGCAACAAATGCAGCTGCAACACCAGCAACAACAACAGAATCTCGAACTTGACATGCAGCAGCAGCTGCAACACTTGCGTCTCGGCCCCGATGGGGAGGACAACTCTGTCGGCCGTTTGGCGAGCAACTTTATCATACCTCGACGCTTGTCCGACAGCGCCAGAGATCGACCGCCGCCGCGCCACTCGATCATCCTCGAGCGGGCCTTTGATTTTGGTAAGTGTCCAAAACGACTTTACTTTTGACCATATCTCCATAAAATAGGGTCTTTCCTGACTGACTGATTGACTGACTGACTTACCGATTGAATGATATTGCATACATCAAAAGGAAAGGCCTTTGATTTTGTGAAAATCGCATAGAAAGGCGATATTAAAAAAAAAGAAGGTGCAACTAAGTTAAATTGAAACAGAAGATATGAAAATGAGCGAATGAGGAACGAAGGTAAGAGTAAGAGGAGGGAGAGATTGAAGGGAGTGGAGAGAGAGAGAGGATCCGTTTTAATATTGACTTAAGACAACTTGTGATAATCGCATAGAAAGGCGATGTTAAAGAGCGGTAAAGAGAGACAGAAAGTATGAAAGTGAGAGTGTGAGAGAAAGAGAAAAAAGGTAAGAGTGAGAACAAGCAAAGATAGGGAGAAAGAGAAGAGAGAAAGAGAGGAATAAAGAGAGAGGGAGAAAAGTGCCAACACAGCAAAGAGGCGAGAGAGAGATAAAAATATAGTGTACTCGCGAGTTATTCAATGGGTCTGTTTTTTTATATTATTGAAAGGACAAACCACAATTTGTAAGCCTTGTTAGCCTTAAAAGAAAAAAGAGAGAGAGGAAGAGAGAGAGGTAAAATAGGGAAGACATAATGAGAGCTATAAATAGAGACTAAAAGCGAGATATGATGAGGGTCAGTTTGATATTGTTGCACGATTGCGCTTTGATGGATTAGAAGCAAGTAAGGACCCCACGTGAAGGGGCTATTCCAGCTGCACCCGACATTTTTATATTGCATTGTGTTGCCTTTTGCGAGGCTTAGGGCTAATTAGGCAGCGTCCTTTTTTTCGCCTAGTGGATTAGCCCCCGTTGCGATGCCTTCGCGTTTGGCCACGTTCCAGCTGAGAGGCACATGTGGTGTGTATTTTTATATTGTTTAGTGTGCGTGTGAGTGTGTGTGCGTGTGTGGGTGTGGGTGTGTGTGTGGGTGTGTGTGTATATGACTATGACTATGACGTGCGCGACATGCAGCCACAACTTTGCGGCTTGGTGCAGTAAAACCTGCCCAACAGACCAGGGCACACACTCACTTTATGAGTTAAGCACTCGCACACACACACACACCTACGCGCACACCAACACACGCACATCTCTATATATATACCTATAATGGTTAGGGCGCATCGCTTGAGCGGATTCTTTGCATGGAACTAAAGGTCAGGTGCGCGTGATGCCATATCCATACATATTTCAATTAAAATACACCAATATGCAGACACACACACACACACACACACACACACACACACAAACACAAAGGTGAATAACCAGTTCAAGTTTTTTTTTTTTTTTTGGCAAATGGTGTTAGCCGAGCTTTGAGGAGTGCTCGTTAACAGAAAATGGCGCCCGTCTTGGTGCCCATCAAAAAAGCATAATGCGCATTAAGTTTTTATATATACACATATTCTGTTGAATGAAATAAAAGCCCACACACACACACACACAGGGAACTGGGCCCAAAACGAAAGTTAAACATCAACTTAAAAAAGTGCCAAAGGAACAGCGAACAAAAAACCGCCAGACAACAAGAAACGACAACAAACATTAAAAGGCTGCAACAGCCCAGCCAAGAGCTAAACACAAACTGAACCTTTTTTTGGCCGCGATTAAAACCGGCCCCAAACAACTTCCAACAATGTAACCGGCCAAATGGCAAAAAGAAACATAAGTACGAGGCTCAAGCTCAACCATGGGGATACCCTGTTTCCAGGGCAATTAAAAATTAAACTTCATCTGTGGCTAGTAAGACGAAAAACCGCCTACCGAAATTTAGTTTCCATGATGTGCCAGTCTGAATATCGATAGTTATCGATTTTAACGAAATGTTTAGTTATCGAATAGAAAAACATAAATTTGCGTGCTTACAACATGTTCTGCTAGCCGCTGCAATAGCCTCTAAGATATGCTTAAAATATCTATTCTGAACATCGATAACTATTGATTTTTATAGAATTTTTAGTTTTCGAATAGAAAACATAAATTGCCTGCTTGGAAAATATGCTGCTGGCCGCTGCAATAGCATCTAAGATATGCTAAAGAAATATATTTTAATCACCGATAATAATTTTTTCGACTCAGCCAGTTGTCCTTTTTTGTTTTTTTTTTTGAGGGCGGAAATGAAACATGTACACAAAAACACATTTTCTAATCCATTTTCACGGGGTATCAAAAGAACCTTCGGAATGGTCTCTGGCTACGTGGGCAAACTCCCGGTTGACATCGAACTTAAGCATCGCGTAATCGGATCAAAAGGGAGACGAGAAAAACATCAATTGCTATTAGGAAAAATGAACAGATCATTAAATCCACGTAATTTCGTGTAGATGGCCCAATAAGCTTTTTAATTATATTATGGTGAAATATACAGAATATGGGAGATATACTTTTGAGCATAAATCAATTACCTTTTAGCTGGAATCAAATTAATTGTATAAACTGTAATTATGGAATTTGCATTTGTCAAAAGGGCTTGCACGAAGCTGTGATGCCTGTCCAGAATTGACGTTCGAATAATGTAGAATCCAATCAAAAGTTAAATAATGGGCAGAACATGCTTAGTTAATGCACACATAATATGCGACAGGCCCTCAAAGTGAATGCCCAAAAATGCCTTTGACAGTTATGAAATGATGAGTACATTAAAATCACATTTACCAAGGCCTCGACGAAATAACGAAAGAAATATTCAATTGGGCATGCTCGAACAGGGAATTCAAAAAGACATGTTTTTGTTAAACAGGCGAATATTATTTTTGCCGATTTCTTTTATATAAACTTATCATTTAAAATTATGTCACAATAAAATATACTAATATAATAAATAAATAAATATAAAATAATATTTCAATATACATTTAAAATATACTAAATAATTGAATCTATAAAATAAGCTATTAGGAAATCTCTCAAGTTTTTCAAATAACAAGAAGTAGACCGACCCAATCGGGCCTTGGTTTTCAGCTAGTTTTAATTGATTGGATGGTTGAGTCCGCAATTCACTCCATTCGCCCTCTGCCCGCCTCCAAGGATTAGAATTTCAATTGGTTTCCGCCTTTTCAAATACATTTAATACTCATTAATTTAATTTTCCCCCAGCTAGGCTATGCTTTTCGAGTTGACTGAGCGTAAAGTATGTCCTTTAGGAGTTACCTTTTGAGTACTTAACAAAACTTCAAATCGTGTTTAAGCCCAAGTCGCGTTAATCTATTATATGAGCAGAATGAAAGACTATTCCTATGCACGAAATCCAATGAACGTGGATTAAAAGGATATTATTATTTTTTTATGTGGTTGCATATACATAGAAGACAGAATGACTTCCCTATAACGTATATATGTTATATTTCTCTGTCTGTATCTCCGCCTTTCTGTCCATCTTTCAATCTCAGATAATAATAATGGAAAAATTATCGATAGATCGATACGCTGCACGATAATGTTAATAATCGATTACGACATATCATGTTTGATCCTAGCTCGGAATTTAGAAGAGCTAGGGACACACAAAAAAGCCAAAAAGAATCTCCGGTTCTGGGCACCATATCCTAGGTATATATGCTGGGACAATAAACATCAAAATTAGTAAAGATTACATTTTCCACATATATGGACTGGGGGTGTGTAAAAAAGAAGCATGGTATGTCTGTCAAAGAGGATAGAATTAAAGCTAATTCCAACCAGGGTATCCGCTATTTTGGCAAACCCGACTAAAGCAAACACCCTTAAAAGGAAGCTAGAATAAAAGCTGAATACAACAGCAGCTCGGTGCCTGGTGCTGGATTCTAGGGTATCTCTAAGTCGGGAACTTGCACTTATTTCAAAAATATCCCCAAATTGTTATGTGATAAAATTTGTATTTTAGACATTTGTTTTCCTCAGACACTTTAACAGTTCCGCCAGTCTCTGGGGTTGCCCAAAAATTTAATCGTAAATAAATAAGTAAATAAATAAATGGTATTCTGATGGTATTTTGCAATTGTCAGTCAATATGTAACACGGGCATTTTCGAGCCCATAAGTGAAAACGATTCACCCGCTCTATCCGATACGAATTTTATATAATTAAACCAAATGTTATTAAAATGGGATCAAATCGTTGAAGAGTTACAAGATTAAAGTAACTGCAAGAAATGAAATAATTGAATAAATAAATTTTTTTAGGGTATACGGCAGTCGCCAGCTGCAAAAAAAACTTTGCTGTCTTGTCTTGTTTTTGATGTTATTTCTTTAGCTGGCTTTTTCGTTCAAAGCTCTAAGATTATTAAACTTTGTGTCTACTTAAAGTGTATGACTGGTAGCTACCCTATAAAAAGTTATGCTTACAGTTAAGAAAACCCAATCCAGAAGCTTTTGGAATGAAAAATGTATTATTTCGAAACATTATATGCTCGCTTTTTTTTGCAATATGTACAGGGTATAGAAAAACGTTTTGTTTACAGGCTGAGTTGTGCCGTAAACAGACCTCACAATAAAGCCTTTGAAAAATGAAGTCAGCAAAGTTTTCGACTGAACACATTCTCATATTTGACTTTGACTTCAACTTGGCAAACATATTTCTCAAATAGAAGCTCACATGGAATGCGCATGTGTGTGTGTGCCAGTCAGTGTGTCTGTGTATGTGTATTTGAGGTGTATCTTCACATTTTGGGACAACGCAACGCCCACAACATTCACAAAACTGGCAGGCTGCCCGCTGGCCAATAACTGGGCCCAAAGGCCATGAATACACTCAAAAAAATGTTGTTTTCCACAATTCAAGAAAATGTTCAACAGCATTCTTCTAAGTTTAGCTCTCTGTTTATAAAAAAAAAAAGATCAGGAAGGAAATTCTTATAAATATTCGCGGTATTTATGGCAATTTTTAAAATGTAATAAGTTGATTATTATTATATTTTTTTTGAGTGTATCACACGTTTAGCCGCAGTTGCTGGCCACAATTTTGAGGTCTTCTTCCTTCGACTGGTCGATTGTCTATGTGTGTGGGTGTGTGTGTGTGTGTGTGACATATGGTACTTGTCATCCCGAAAGCTGTCATATAAAAACCTTGTTTAAGACAGTTTCTCTTCGAACTCTTTGATAAAGCATAGATAGTAAATCTTTAGTCCTAATATCCAATGTTATTTATTGTCGGACGTGTCGGATAATTTCAATCAAGGGTGCTTAAAATTGGGTACATTGTGTTGGATAAAAAATTATGTATACTATATGTATACCTGATAAGCACAAGGAGCTCCAACAATAAAAACAAGTTGAATGGATTTTTAAATAAATATTTTCATACGCCAAATGAGCTTGTTTTTTTTACCTTCTCTTATTCTAATAATTTCAAATGATTTCGAAGGTAATAAAAGCTAGATTCAAGAAACTTTATGTTTATGCTCTCGCATAGCGTGCACATGGTTGAAGTATTTCTTTTTTTGGAAACCTTGCCTAAAAAAATAACAAATTTAGAGACATAAAAACACTTTTCTTTTGAATAAGTTCAAACTATAAACACCGAAGTCAATCAAGAATTTCTACCGAGGCAGTGTAAAATACTCTTCAAATAAATGCGTTGATCAGCAAGTCAATCAATCTGTCAATCAGTTAGTTGATCAGTCAGTCAGTTAAGACAAGCAGCTATATATATAGAGGTAGTCATTTTATACGTACTACAGGTAAGGCCGGGGTGTGCTCGCTAGTATAAATATTTATAAAAAGACACATAATTTTTTGCTCAGGCAGCTGGTATAAATACCGATTTTGTCAATTGCAGACACCAGCTGTGACGAGAGCGATATACCCAGTTGCAGCACGCCAGGGCCTGTGCCCTCGCCGGCCCCGCATCAGCTGGCCTACAATGTGCTCAAGCCCATACTGAAGCAGCCACAGCCGCAGCCGCAGCAGCAGCAGCAGCTTATGCAGCATCAGCATCTCCAGCAGCAGCATCTGCAGCAGCAGCATCTGCAGCAGCAGCATCTGCAGCAGCAGCATCTGCAGCAGCAACATCTTCAGCAGCATCATCTGCAGCAGCAACATCTGCAGCATCAACAGCAGATGCATCCAATGCAGCCACAGCAGTATTCCCCGCTCCCGCAGCATTCCCAGCTCCCGCAGCCTCCGCCGTATTCCCAGCTTCCGCAGTTTCCGCAGCATTCGCAGCAGATAATGCCGCAGCATCCGAGTACATCGGGATATGGGCACGTACATCGGCTACTGCCGACGCCGCCGACACATGGGGGATTGGGCGCCTACCATACGCGGGAGTCGGCGCTGCAGCGCGTCCAGCAACAGAGCGGCATGGGCAGTCACGGCAATTTGTACGGCAATGCACCGAGCGGCTCCAGCACCAGCTCCATGCCTCCCTACGGCTATAATGTGCAGCAGCCACAGCAGCCACATCTGGCAGCTGGCTACAATATGCCATATAATTGGGAACGGGAGCAGGAACAGGAGTGGGAGCTGGAGCAGGAACAGGAGCAGGAATGGACCGACGAGCCGAGCACATCGACGCAAGCAACTCGCAGTAGCTATGGGGATTATCTGAATGCATTGCCCGGTTCAGGACCGCCGGGACCGGGCCTGGCTCCAGGCTCTAGTCGTGTAAGCAGCGCCAGCCCCTTGCGAGCACCTAATGCCGGCAACTCCTCCTATCCTAACAACCAATCTATAAACTTGTAGCCGAGCATGCGAGCACAGATGTCGCCCATTTTAAATAGACGTCGCTCCTCAACGATTGCGGCCAACAGCATGCTGTTGCAAGCCGATCCCGGCCACGGTCGCAACAGCATCGCCGGTGCCGAGGATCAGCAGCGTGGCGTTCACAGCAACAATACCAGGTAGGAGTACGATATGGTATATTCATATTTGCACCATTCCCAAAATTAGACCGCATATATTACCCATATCCCCATTCAGAGCTCCACAACTAAGTTTACCGACAGCCCAGCCGAAACACTGGCAATGTAAACAACAATAACAACGACTACAACAACAATTACCACAACTATATAGCTACAGCCACGACCACGACCACGCCCACGTCCATGATCAAGCCCAAGATCACGCCCACAAGCACAAGCACAACCATAACGACAGATGTACAACAATTTGTGAACGCCTCCAAAGTTTGGCTGCGAAAATCCGTTCAACATTCCATAGCACAGAAATGCGAAGCAAACTCTCATCGATTGCTACTCAGAATGAATTTGGCATTCGAGCTGTGTTCGTATTACATGTATTTTTGGCAAAGAATTCTTTGTATACAAATCTAGTGCATAGTTTTCTAAATTATTCTGATCGATTTCTCGATTCTTAATATTTAAAAGGGAAATGATTTCACCAAAATATCGATTGTTTCACTATCGATTCAATTGGCCTTAATGTTGTGTTTGTATTATATTTTTTCGCAAAGAATTCTTGTTATCGAAAAAATTAATTTTTAATATTCTATCGATTTAATCGATGTCGATGACCGTAATAATTTAAAGGGGATCGATATGCTCAAATCGATTGTTTCTCTATCGATTTAATTGGCCTTAACATTGTGTGTGTATTATATTTTTTCGCAGAGAATTCTTGTTATCGAAAAAATCAATTTTTAATATTTAATCGATTACTCAATTTAAATTATGGAATACGTTATTCGACATCGTTGATTGTGATATTTTAAAGGGGAACGATATGCTCGAATTATCGATTGGTTTTATCGATTTAATAGGCCTTAAAGTTGTGTCTTTATATTTTTTCGCAAAGAATTCTTATGGAAAATCAATTTTGAATATTCTATTGATTACTTAAACATATGGAGAATACCTTATTTGATATCGATCCTTGTAATATTTTAAAGGGGATCGATACGCCTGGCTGTAGAGTTGTGTCTACTTACATATTTTATGAAAATTAAAAGTTTTTCAGTCGATTAGCGATTGCTTTAATCGATTCAATTGCCGATTATTCCTATCAGTATGATAGGCTGTTAAATTGTGTCGTTTAACATTCTGTGACACGACTAGAAACATTCAAAAGCCCGGAAAAAGCTGTTATTCATTCTGAAAGTTCATTAAACATGCTCTCAGAAAGCTATTTGGATGTTGGCAAATCAATTTAATGCAGTCAGCTAGTCGAATTGTTGGTCAGCAAAAGCCGAAACGTTACGGACATCATGTAGTTCTAGATCGAACCACGTAGCACATGTAGAACCTATTCCCTGCTAGCCTGCTTACACGCGATTTTAGTTAACTGCACGCAATGCGATCGCATATTGAATGAGCTCCATAACCGGCGAGTGCTGCCAACCCGATTTTAAATGCAAACGCAATTTACTATAAACCATCAACTGTCCGGCCATCGACTATCAACCGTGGTGGGTCGTCGACTATGTGTGCTGTGCTTTTTAATTACAGGGAGCGCGTCTGCCTGGCCAAATCGCCGCTTGGACGTGACGGCATCGAGAGCTGCACCGTGCTTACCTTTCAGCAGGCAATGTCTGGCGCAGTGTCGCCTCAGTATGCAGCAGCCGGAGCCGTAGGAGGTGGAGGAGTCGCGCCCAACGGGCAGTTGCCAGTCAATGAGCTGGACAAATGCCTGTTGGGATCCAGCAGCGCGCTGGCGGCTGTCGCCGAGGTCACAACAACCAGTGGACCCGATGCCACCGACTCGCCTACAGCCGATTCCAGCGACTACCTGGGCTTATCCCTGTCAAAAGCAATGATTTCACAGCAACAGCAACAGCAGCAACAGCTGCAACAGCTGCAACAACACCAACAACAATACAGCAGCCAGCACCGAGAACGGGGCGTCGGAGAATCTGCAGCCGGACCTTCAGCTGGAGCCGGCGCCATAGCACAGCAACTGGCAGCTCATGGCAGTACCGCAAACTTTGCGGCTGTCCAGTATGGTAACCGCATGGCGGAACGCCAGCGTCTGAGAACCTCCAGCATGCCAGCGGAGGGCCGTAAGGTAAGGGCATCTAGAGATTAGATGCGACGCACGAACAATGCTGGACTGTGCCAGTAAATAATCCACGCTTAACTACTTTTATTACTTTCGCAATTACTCAATTTGATTATCCAATTACCAACAGTTATTAATGATTTTGACTATCCGTTCAATTACATTTCTTGCCCAACCTTCTCAATTACCGACTTGTAATTAAGTAATTCCTTATCGCGCTTAATTACTTTAATTACTCGTGCAATTGCAATTATCAAAAATTTTAAATCATTTTGACTATCCGCTCAGTTGCCCAATTAAGTTATTCCTTATCACAGTTAATTACTTTAATTACTCTCGCAATTACTCAACTTAGTTAATTCAATTACTCAATCACTAACTATTATTAAATGATCCTAACTGTCCGTTCAGTTAGCTCTCTTACCCAATCACTTCAATTACCAACTGGCGATAAGTAATTAAGTAATTATATCACAATTCTGCCACTTTTGAGGGAATATCGCTAGATTTAGTGGGCGTAGAACGATTTCCTGCGGCATTTTCGACGAGAATGTCGCCGTCTGTTTTATTTTAGGACACACAAAGCTCCAGGGAACAAGCCACAAAAGAACTAAGGAACATTCTTGTCTATCTTGTTAATCCCAAAGAGCACACACTCACGCACACACACACACACACACACACACGTATCAGAGCATAACAATTCCTGGGGACTTCTCTGGCTGTTTGCACTTGGATTCACTTCAACTTATTGCCAAAAAAAAAAATAAATAAAAATTACTAAAGCAAGAGTGCTCTAGTTGGGAGTGCCCGACTATAATATACCCTGTACCGAACTGTACTTAATTTCTTGCACTTTCTTCTTCTTTGCTTATTTTTCCCGTTTTTTCCCGTTTTAAAATCGATATTGATCGATATTCCGGGAATTGGAGAATGTTTTGAGAAATAGTTATAAAATCGTCAGGCGAATGAAACTACTCAACTCGAAAACGCTTTCTCCTGCCTGTTACCTACGCTTGAACAAAAAACATTCGACCCCTTTGAATGGAGACAGGGTATAAGATTTTTAACCCAAACCGAATCACGCATTCAATCCCAGCTGCCTCTCGTTGCCCTTGCAGCCAGCCTCAATTGAGAATTTTGCATTCTTGTATGCACAAGAGTGACACGCCTCCAGGGTGCAGTGCAGTCGCAGGGCTTAGGGCCTCGGGCTTTGGGCGCCGGGCATATAGTTGCAATAGACAAGTTTTTGCAGCCAGTGCCACAGTCCTTTTCACCGGAGTGCCACACACACCTGCTTGACATTCTTCTGGCTTCAACTTGTGCAATTTATATGGCACTCGCCGGGTTGCCAGCGGCATTCGCTCGCTACGTGTTTGCCATTGATTCCTTTTTGGGGCCCCACCGAAAATTTTGCGGCCAGGGACACACAAACTACGGTCTCAGCTGTCGTTTGTCGTCTGCCCGGTTGGCATTTGCCAGTTGTCATTTTCAATGGAAAGTGTTGCATGAATTTCGTTGCAGCCACCGAATTTCATATGTGCATACAAATCAATTCTGATGCTCTGCCCAAAAATGTCAACTAGAAAGTTGAGAGTTGGCAGCCTGCCTGCCTGCCCCCCCACACCAGCGGCTGGCAGGTCAATGTCCCAGTTACCCCTGTTGCCCACGCTCCCAACACAATTCACGCACACTAACCCCTCAGATGCTGCTGCAGTTACCATGGGAAGCCGGTTCCGTTTTGCTGGCAATAAACGAATTTTTTTTTAAATTTTTTAAATGAAGTTAATACTATCAAATGTTTTACATTGAATAAATAAAATCTTCTGAAATACAGCCACTCTGTGCTTTAAAAAGAAGACGATAAATGTGCATGATAGAAATAGACTTAATATTTGATATTAAATTAATATTTCACAGTCTACAAAATCTTAAACATCAAACAAAGCTTCTGCAAACTGTAAATCTTACCGAATCTATACGTAGCTGTTGTGACTCTTACACCATTCAGATTAGTTTATACAAAAATTCAAATATTTTCACATACAATATACAATTAGCTCTTTCGGTGACAACAATTTGTGTTCACGAATATAATATTTTCCAAAGCAAATGCACCAAGGGATATAAAAGCTTACCACCCCTCGAGAGCTGCCCTAATCTTTGAGTTATTAATTTGTTTTTTTTTTTTTTGCTGCAAAAAACATGCCAAATTCCCCATGGTGCCATGTCGGCCTCGGTCCCTTCGTACTCCTGTAGAGCAGCTGCTGTATTTGCATTTTGTGTTGCCTACTTTTGTGCGCCGGCTGCAGTTTTTTCAGCTTCACACGCGACGCACGCGCTGCACAATTTTCACCCGAGCAATTTCACAAACTAATTACATTAGCTGCAGCGACCAGATAAGTGCATACCAGATAAACAACCTCTTCCCCCTAGGAGTTGGTGTGTGTGTGGGAGTGCACACACCCACAATTAATGCCAGTCCCTCGTTGTGGATTGTTAAGCAACAGGAAGTCGCAGCCAAATAATGATGTGGGGCTTGGGCCATAGTCTAGTTGTTGCCATAGTCCTAGCATAAATTCAAGCGAACTAGTGCACACAAACATAACTTATATATATATATATATATATTTACTTATATATATATATAAATACATACATATTGAGTGTATCTCGATAGCACCTGCTCGGGCCCATTTGGCCCGCTTCAAAGAAGGCAAAATACCGCACTGAAAGCCGAGACGATGCGAGACAGTTGACAGTTGCCTAGTCATTGCCAAATGGTTGGCTCACAAGTTGCCCTAACGACGCACCATTAGTAATCCACTCTGCCGACTCCAGTTCCAGCTCCTCGTCTTTTCGTATCCCATTTGTTCCTTTCATATTTGGCAGCATGCACTAAATTTGCTCACAGTTGACTGAATTGTTAATATCGCAAGCAATATAGTCGCTTGACAAACGCCCTGTAACTAAATATACACAATTTGAGCTGCGTCTTTATTCGAGTAGGGTCTTAGAGATATGCCCCAAAATCAAACAAAGCTGGAAATCGATATTTATCGAGATTTAGGAAAAATTGTAGCAATCATCGACCGAGTTTTAAGATGCTTACTGGCAGGACTCAAGTATATCCAGTTCTTCATTATTATTCTCATCTCATTTAAGTGTAATATCTGTTGTCGTTTTGGCGGTTCGAACTCTCAAAATAGCCACCTTGAATGAGTGTAGGGTGTAAACAAATAAGCGGAAATGCTCGACTGCTCGGGCTCACTGGCGATGCAAAGGGTTTAAGTGCGCAAATATGCGCAAATAAGAACCGTAAAAACCTAATGAGTAATAATGTTCAGGCAGGTGGATTAGACATAAGCGCTTGCTAATGGCAACCTTTTGGCGCGTTCTTACCGCTGGTCAACTCCTCGATACGAATGTATTTCGTGCAATAACTAAGCACCGACTACATGCGTACCAAAAGGGACAGCACTGACTACACTTTGACCAAATGAATAGGCTTATCGTTGCTATTAATAATTGAATTCAATTTGATTTATTGAAGAGTGTACGCAAGGTTGGACACGGGTCCTTCTACGACACGAAAATATCTGGACTAGTTCTTATGAACGATAACTATCTTTGACTCGGTGAAATACAATTGAAATCTAACAGCATGGTCGAGCTACGTACTCTAGGTTGTTTTTGGAAATCCCGTTTTTTTCGAATATTTAACTTTGACCGGCTGAAATCCCATTGAAATCCAATAGCAAGGTTGACTAGACTACTCTAGCTCATTTTCAGGAATCCCTTTTATTTTAAAAATTTCAATTAAAAGCAAGGTTGACTACACTACTCTAGGTTATTTTTGGGAATCCATTTTTTGAAATGTTTGACTTCTTTTGACTCGCTGAAATCCAACTGTTTTTATTTTCGAGCGTAACTCGTAGATTTTAAAACGAAGGTCGATTAAACTACTCCAGCTCATTTTCGGGAATCCCTTTTTTTCGGTTGAATTACCGGCTAGTATAAGTTCGACTGATTTTGAGCGAATCTGAGAACAGATTGCAAAAAAACTGGATATGGGATTTTAAAAAATGTTCGTGCTAGTTTATAGTACCTGTTAGTTTGGTATAGTTTTTTGTGTACTGCGGTTGCAATCCCGGCATAGGCCGGCGAATATATCTTATAATCGGCTTTTGTTGCATGTTGGATGTTGGATGTTGTGCAGCCGCGATTGGCCGAGACGCGTCGTTCGGCTATTCACTGTGGCCCGGATGCGGACGTGGACTATTATCGGCTGCGCAGCTTTAGCATAACCTCGCATGGCGTTTGCAATCTGGGCGATTCTTTACGGTAAGGGCGTGGCAGGCATACACACATAATTGATTTTTTTGGTTAATTCAATTTCTCTGCTTGTTCCTTTTTTTTCTTCCCCACAACAGAAGTCGCAGGTCACGTTCGATCAATTCGGTAACATCAGCGGGCACCGGCAACTCCCACAGCGCCGCGGATCGTCACAACAGGTAAGAGGGAATTATGAGTGCGAGTGTGAATGTGAGCTTGAATGCGAGCGTGAATGCGAGGCATTCAGTTATTCAGAGAGTCGCTGCAATAAATTGTTTATAAAATGACAATAAAGCGGCGCAGAGCAAAGTTCATAGGGAGCAACAATGACAAGCACATTCACACACACACTTACTAATTTCATACATTTTGCCACACAAAACAAGAGCAGAGACGCTTTTCCTGCTTTTTGTGCGCGTGGACTTCGTGTTGCATTCACAAAGGAATTCTTCGCTTTTATTGTTGCTCACCGCCCACCTGAACATTTTATCATTTTCATTCCTCCTACCCCTACTTATTATTGTTATTACATGGCCCGCCGTCGTCATCTCGTCTCTGCCCGTTTGTTATTATTGTCAGCCAGTGCCAATAAAATCGTAAAATCAAATTCCTTAAATAGGCGGACATCTCCGACAGCAATAAATACTTTCGCATCAAATGGCTGACGGTATTTACAACATACCTGTCCATAAATACATGCATGGGGATAACTGGGCGTATACTTGACCGATTCGCACAGTGCATAAAAGCAGCGAACACATCCAGGAGCTAAATATATTCGTGATCCGAATTAGTTAATATATAATCATGTCAGTTCGGGCTTTGCGTCTCTTTATCTCAATTTCAAGATACATAAGAAGTAGAACGAGAATCGATAATTTTCATAGGATCGATAAATATCGATAATTTGGAATCAGTTTATATAGTCATGCCAGATCTTCCTTCCGTCTCTATACCCATATATTGAGATACTTATGCACGCAATCGAATTAAGAGCTTACCGATAACTCCCTCAAATTTCATAACATCGATCAAATATCCAACTCAAGGATTATAAAAACTAGTTATGCCTAACTTGGTATATAGGTTCTCGCAAAGTGAATACAGCTGAGAAATATTTAATTTTTCCGACTCTTTTTGATTTTGGAAGTTGAATAAACAGCTGTATGTCATATAAGGATCTGATAATAAATAAACTCCATCAAGAAAGCATTTCGTTGACAAAGTGTGAGACTGGCAGGAAAGGAGGAAATGAATGTTTCTTGTGACTAAATGTACGTGGGTATCTTCTAGTCTAGGACACACGCTAGCTTGTCGGCAAGATTGATGGCAGTTGACTACATTTGCCTTGCCTTGCCTTAAACCTTATTGGATTTGTAGATTATTGATTATAGGCTTTTAATTATTTTTTCTTGTCTTATTTTCATGTGTAGCAATGCCTCGGGCGACATTGTGGAGGGCGACCATTCGCACGCTTCACAGCAACAGGCCTACAATCAACAGCAGCAACAGCAGCAGCAGCAACAGCAGCCGCAACAGCAGCAGCAACAGCAGCAGCAACAGCCGTCGACATCGCAGTCGGCGTCGACGTCGACGTCGCAGCCGCCAAAAGCGACTAGCCAGGCGGCTGAGGTAGAGATTCCGGCATATAAAATCGCCATGCTAGGCGGATCCGGCGTAGGCAAGACAACGCTAACATATCAGTTCACAACCTCGGACTACATATGCGCCTACGATTTGAGTCTGGGTAAGTGGCACGTGTCAAAAGGCAGCATTTAGTCTAATCCCAGAGCTTTGCGTGTTCCCAGAATGAACTTGGACCTGGATCTGGCTTTGGCTTTGAATTCCGTTACGGGTTCGGGTTCGGGTTGGTTCTGTGGCTTTTAATCAGGCGCATTTGCATTTTAATTGCGCCGCAAACTCATAAAATATGAAAAGCGTCTCGCTGCTAATTTCATTAACTTGGCCAACTTTGCAACGCCCACAATGGGCGTTCAACAAAAAAACAGAGGGGGTGGGGATTAGGTCAGGTAATGCTCGTGCCAGCGATAGCTACTTAAGCTGGGCGACTGTTAATACCATCCGGACCGGAAACCGCTTAAAAACAGTTTCAGCCATTTGCGACCCATTATTAAAAAGGATTACATTCATTTATAAATAGATGCGGAATAAAAGCATGCTTCATTGCTGACCAACTAACCGGGCAACAAATTGCGCAGTTCCCAAGCAAGGACTCTCGGCCTTTAAAGTCCAGTCCGGCCTTAAACATGATACGGGCTGAGGCTTTTAGATATATATTCCTGCCCTGTATTCCCCTGGACTTCATAGACTCCGGAAATAGAAGCCTTGTGCTAAACAATTTAAACAAGAAACAAGAAAAGCGTTAGTTATGATTGTCCGCTTCCCATTTCGGCTTGAAACATTCAGATATAAATTTCTGTCCTGTCTTCACGGGCATCTTGGTATCCCTAGACTTTGCTACACCTCTAAGAAGTACATATAGGAAGCTTTGTAGATGACTATCCAAACAAGATATGAGGAGGCGCTTTAATTATGATTGTCAGCTTTACATTTTTGGCTTCCTTACGGTTTGAAGCCTTTAGATATAAATTCTTGTTCTGTTCTTACGGAATTTCGATTCTTAGGCTTCCTAGACTTCTAAGGGGAAGCTTTTTCAGTTGACAATCCCAACGAGATACATGAGCTTTACTAAATATAATAGAGCTCATATTATAAGTGTCGGCTTCTCATTTATGTTTTTTTTTTCTTTTTATTTTTTTTATAACTTTTACTAACTGCGTAATAACTAATTAGGCACACTGGACTCGAACTGGCATCCTGCCTCTTTGTCCACAACTTTGTCCAGCTTTTCTTTTTCTGTCAAAGGCCCTGTGCTCTTTTGAGGCTACAAAAGAAATCGCAACCCTCAGTCGGGACAAGCGCTTTTATACATTTGGATTAGCTGTTTTTTTTTTGTTTTTGTTTTTTTTTTTTATTAAGCTGATTAGTTGGCTTTGCTCAGTGTTTGACTGCAATTAGTTAGTCGCCGGCACTTGGCTAATGCATGCACCACGCACACGTGTCCCGGCGTGGGCCTGACCTGACCTAAAAGCCCGCCCAACATGTCGGAAGTGCATGCAAGGGATACGCACACTGCGTGTCCGTCCTGGGACCGAATGATATATGACTGAAGGAATAAAGGAACTGGAGTCTGGACGTGGACGTGGCTGGGAGCTGCAAATGGCACTGGGGCATGCGAAATTTTTGCACGTCGCAAATGTTGCCAGCCGCATTGTTGGCCCAGAGCCAAAGCCTCAACAGCATGCGGCATGCAGCCGGGCCAAGAATGAAACCACCAACCTTCCCCCCTCCACCCTCCACCCTCCACCCTCCACCCCTTCCAACTTTTAATTAACACTTGAGTCAAAGAGGCAGCAGCAGTAGCTGCTGCAGCTGCAGCAACAAAGCAACTTCATGCCACACGCAACGTTTATTGTCCTGCTTGCATTTTGTCTGAGCTTGTGTTTGTCTGTGCCAACGGGCACCAGGGACTATTGTTGGTGTACGTTTAACGTACACAAACTGAACAAGCTGCAAATGCGACAGTTGCTGGGATGCTGCTCGGGTTTGGTTTTCGTAATACCCTGTACTCACGGAAAATGGGTATGATGAAAGAGTACGAAATAGGCAGAAGCAGGCATCTCCTGTCTCCATTCTAAGTCAAAGGCAAAAGCAAAGGCCTGTCGTATATCATGCCAAAGAATTTTTTAGATTTTTTCTGGTTACGCGAATTATTCCTTTGGTTGATATCAATTCGTAGGCTGGATTTTTGAATAAAATAATTTTGTTTTGGGAATATTGGAAAAGTCGAATTGAATTCGTCGATGTGGAGGCAGAGCCAGGCATCTCTTGTCTCCATATCATTCGCGAGAATTTTACAGATTTTTTCCTGGTTACTCAAATTATTCCTTTGAAATCGAGTGATGTCGATTTGTAGGCTAGATTTTTATATAAAGGAATTTTGTTTTGGAAATATTCGAAAAGTCGTATTGAATTCGTCCTGTCTCCATTCTCAGTCAAAAAGGTTCTTGTATATCATGTACAAGAATTTTGCAGATTTTTTCCTGATTACTCGAATTATTCCTTTGAAATCGAGTGATGTCGATTCGTAGGCTAGGTTTTTGAAAAAAGCTTCTCCTGTTTCCATATCCTTCGCAAGAATTTTTTAGATTTTTTCCTGGTTACTCAAATTATTCCTTTGAAATAGATTTGTAGGCTAGATTTTTGAGCAGGAATATTTTTTGGGAATATTCGGATAGTCGAATCGAATTCGTCAGTGGACATAGGCAAAACGCATTCTTTGCCAAAATGGCAAAAGGATCTCGCATATCCCTCGCAGGAATTTTTCAGATTTTGGATTTTCTATAGGAGCGAGGCCTGAGTTAGCAAGAAGCCACTCACAGGCTCACTCACAGACCAGAAATATTTCCCAGTATAATTCGGATTAGTTGAATTGAAGCTTTGTGAGTACAGGGTATACACAAATTCAGTCGGACTTGCACCTTTTTTTTCCAAGAAATGGCAAATGTATTTGTCGCTGTAGAAAAGTTTCCCAAATGTATTCATTTAGCTTCTGCCCCAAACTTGATTGGGGTCCATTTGCAATTGATGTGTGCGTAAGGCTTGAAAATTATTTCAACTTTCTGTAATTTATTAGCTTGCACTAGCTTTCAATTAAAGGCATTTGGAGAACTAACCATTAATTAAGACGCCACAAACTGAATGCACCTCTCGATGCTCAACCTCCACCCGAAGTCCAAGTGTCCAAGTCCTTTTTGGTTGTCACACCAAATCCCGTTCGCTTCAGTTCCGATGAAGAGCTGCAGCTTATGCAGCACCTGCATTAGCGTATTTTTGTCCATTTTTCTTTTTTGCCCTGCTCTCTGCATGTAAACGGGAGTGGTTACGGTTCGTTTGTTGTGGTACTTTAGGAACGCAAAATATACCCTCAATAAGCACAGCTCAAAAGGCGGCCACAGCTTGGGAAACCCTCAGCTTATTACAGACGCTGCAGCGTGACTTGACAACTTTCTAGTCACATTTTGAGAAGCTATCTAATGTTATTCAATTTTTTAGGCCCTAAGCTTGTGAACTTAGCGAAATATTGCCAAATTTTGTGCAGAATCCCAGTCACAGTTGAAAAGCCACTGCTTACAGTTTTGAAGCCACCCAAAGCTCTCTAATTTAAGTTAATTTCTTAGGCCCTAAGCTTATGGACATAGCGATAATTTGCCAACCTGGTGGAAAGCCTTCGACAGTTGGAAAGCCACTGCTTACTGCTTTAGAAGCTATCTAATTTAAGGTTATTTTTAAAGCCTAGACATAGCGAAATTTTGCCAACTTTGTGCAGATTCTCAATCATAGTTGGAAGGCTACGGCCCACAGTTTTGCAGTCATCCTAATTTAAGGCAATTTTCTAAGCCCTACGCTTAAGAACTTGGCGAAATTTTCCCAATTTTTTTTGCAGATTTCTCGTCCCAGTTGGAGAGCTTACTGTTTACAGTTTTAGAAGCTAATTGTAGGCAATTTTTAAGGCATTATTGAATTCCGAACAGAGCATTGTGTAATCGGTTAAAATCGAGTCAACTTGTTTACATTTTACACGTATTCTTTCTGCAATATGTCAGTTTTTGTGTTAAGCGGTGGTCACGCAAGCGAGAGAGAGGGCGTTGGTTCTAACCCTGCATGCGACACGCCATTGCATGTTCGAGTCTGACCACTAATGCACATAGACTAACTGTCGTTTCAGCTTGGCGTAAGTGGGCGTGGGGAGGGGGGCGGGGGCGGTGGGGTGAGTGGGCGTCTGAGTGGGCGTGTCCATCCACCTGTTTTGTCCGCGTGTTTGTACGCGTGCTTTGTGTGCGTGTGTGCGCACGTGCGCGCAAGCTGCATTGACGTCTTAAGAGTTTGCGCAAAAAAAAAAAAAAAATCGAAAATAAATATAGGAAAAATGTGAATGTGAATTTTTCGCCCCCACAATACACAATAATATCTCCCGCTGCGAATATAAATGACATCAATGTGGCAAGCATCTGCGTTGAGGCATCATTGTACGCATCCATTTACGTAGATAAATATGTGAACCTTGACATTTCAGTTGAAATTGAGAATTGGCAACGAGTTTTGCAATTAGCATTGTGTTTCATATTTATTAGTTTCGGTAACGAGAAAATCTGATTTCTTTAAATAGCGACACCCCATACCTGTTCACAGTTTTTTCTCCCCTTATGCTGTAATCCATTCACATCTCACATTAATTTCCACACATATGCTTCCATGCTTAAATTATCAGCTTGGATTTATTATTTTATTTGCCCTGGATTGCTTGGTAATTGCACTCGAATGACTCGTCCGTTTGCGAGTCCAGCTCCTGTCAACTGCATGACTAATCGCAAAACACGCAAATAAACAAGCTACAAAACATAATATCTCTCAACAAAAAAACTCTTTCACAAGGGGTAAAAATTAATCGATTTCTGAACAGTTGGCTTATAAGGTCCAGAGATATAGTTCTCTGATCCGGCTGATTTCAACGAATGTTCGGGTTGAAATCGGCTTAATGCGGCTTCAATATCTAATGCCTAGATCAGATCAGAAGCTGTTACCTGGCATATGAATAATGTTGAAAATTCGATTCCAATTGCTATTTCAATTGATTGTTTCTTTAACTGAGTTGAACTTGCAACCTCTCGCCAGCTAGATCTGATCAGAATGGAGTATACGCAACGCTCAGATAACTAAGCAATACTACTTCTCTTTCTAATCTAGCTCTACTAGCTTAAAAGGAAATTGCTGCTTCGATTAGAACAGGGTATAACAAAGAAAACCGGCGACCTCTCGCTAGCTAATCCGATGCGAAGATACCCAAGCCACGAAACCTTTTCCGATCGGTCACTTAATTCAGACATCTTAGCAGTACTAAGTTAAAGGATCACATCTTTGCAGTATAAGCTCAAACCCCCATTGCTGCTACGTTAAGAACAGGGTATAACAAATAGACAAACTGCAGCATGCTTTTAGGAGCCGCCAACAAAATGCCGTTTTAGTGTTTGCCATTCAATTTCTGTGCAAATTGCTTGCGACATGCAAATCGGGCGGAGGGGAGGGTAGCTGAAAAAAACTCCAATCCATTCCTGCATTGCTTGGCTCATAGGACCTGCAGTGTCTGTTGCAGCGGGTGGTCTAAAAGTTGAAAGAGGAGGTGAGACGGCGGGGAGAGAGAGGATCTGGGTGACTCGCACATATTTTGATTGCAGCACTTTACGACGCCTTTTTTTGTTGTATGCGGCATTTAACTCCCCTGGCAAAATGAAATCACATTGATTACGCGCTTTTTATGCGGTCACGCCCTATCCACCCCTGCCGCCTCTCAGTCCCTCTCAATTTACCGCCTCAATCGGAAAGAAAAAAAAAACAAAAAGAAAGAAAAACCGCCGCATTGCAGCTTTGATCGATTCCATTTACTATTTACCATTTACCATATTTGGCCATGCAAGTGCCCCGCGGCTCTCGACGGGGGTTCAAACAGACAATGGAAGTGTCCTTTCACGAAAAGCCTACAGTTGTTCTCCGGAATTCCAATAACATGGACTGCAAAACAATGGGTGCCTATGGATGAGCATATTAATTGCTGGCATTAAGCTTTAATGCGCCTTTGGGGCGGCCAATTCTATAATTAACTTAATTTGTGCTAAGTTGCCGGGCAAAGGCTTTTTCCAACCAATTGGCATCTAATTAATTGCAAGACTTTGCATGACGATTCACAATTGGCCATTAAACAGTTTGTATATTGTAAGAGAGCTTCAAGTACTATTACAACACTGAGACAAGGCGCAGTGTTGCAGAGTGCAGTAATGAGCTACACTTGAGTGCAGTTTTTTTTTATTGTTAAACCGAACTGATTGCACAATTTGAGTACGCACTTATAGAAAAAATAATATATATTTTATGCACAAAAAGAGGAGAATATGGGGCAAAGGCTTTTGCCAATCAATTGGCATCTAAATAAATGCAAGAAGACTTTGCATTCAACCTGTACGATTCGAATGGCGCACAGCTTAACGATTCATAATTGGCCATTAAAGAATTTATACATTCTGAATATCCATATGCATTTATTTGCGTACTTGTCGAGGATTTTCATAAGCGAGCTGCGAACTTCAAGTACTGCTACAACGCTGAGACAACGCGCAGTGTTGCATAGTGCAGTAATGAGCTACACTCGAGTACATTTTCCGCCAAATTAGCTGATTCGAGTGGCGGCTTCTGTTAAACCGAACTGATTGCACAATCTGGAGTACGCACTTCTAAAATAAATAGCATATAATATATATGCACAGAAATATTATGAGAATAAATTGAGTATGCGCACTTTAATCCGATTAAGTTGTGCTTGAGCTGGAACGAATCACGGCAACTACTCGAGTTGAAAACTTGAAGTTGAAGTGCGCTAATTTGCTGCTCTCTGTTTGCTTTTCCCTCCTCCCCTCCAGATGATGACTACGGCCGGAAAACGGTCTCCGTGCTGGTCGACAACATTGAGACGGACCTGGAAATGATTGATCATCCGGCCTGCGAGATGTCGGTGAGTATTACGGCCCAGCTCTGCTGAGGCTGAGTGGGTCAGACATCTGGGCTAAGAGCTCTCTCTCTCTCTCTAGACACACACACGCACACACACACACGCACACACACACATGTATGGGAGTTGTTAGCAGACACTTTTGTCAAATGTCATTAACACTTTTTTTTAGCAGCTGCTAAAAGGCCAAAGCATATTACATTGTTGTAAACGTCTTTTCTTCACACTGTTCACATTCTGAGCGTGTGTGTGTGTGTGCGTTGTCGCAAAGTGTGGCGCAAAATTGCATTGAAAATTTCTGTTGCCTACTTTTGCGCACAGCCCCACAGACCTCGACCCGACTCGTGTAGTGTAGCAAAACGTTAAGGACTGCCGCTTAAGTGTTGAATAGCGTATTTCCAAGCTAAATGGTGTCAACATCTATTTATGAATGGTTCTAGCTAGACAGTATATAATTGTAGTACTTAATTCTCAAAAGGAAATAACTTCCCTTTCGACCGAAAGTTTATATCAAATGTAGTTGTCCGATCCGACCCGACTCGTCAGTGTAGCAAAACGTTGAGGACTGGCGCTTATGTGTTGAATAGCGCAACACGCATATAAATACGTGGATTTTCAACCCACGATTACTGTGGCCTCTAGATATTAACGTATTCCCACCCGGTTAACTAAGGCGTTTTATTAGGAATTATTAGAGCAGAGAGATTATCAGGATCGTCATCGTTCTTGTTATCGTTATTGTAATCGTTTCACTTTCTATATATTATATAGATAAAAAAAGGTTGGATGTATGCTTAACTTTTATTTTATTTTAATCGTTATCGTAATCGTTCTCCAATTGAAGACTGAGGCTTTCTGCGCCACATACAACATTGATTTGTTTGTGGTGGTCTATTCGGTTGTGGATCGGGGCACCTTCAAGGCAGCCGAAAAGGTGCTGACCTACCTGAAGGAGAACGACATGCTTTTGACTCGCGGCGCCATTCTGGTTGGCAACAAGACGGACCTGGAGCGTCATCGCGAGGTATCGCGCCAAGGTGAGTGGCAATCGTTAACCTAAAACCGAGACAGGCTCGACATGTGTGCTATTCCAGTCGGGCGCAAGCTGGCCAAGGAAATTGCCTGCAAATTTATTGAGACCTCCTCGGGACTGGACCATAACGTGGACGAGCTGCTGGTGGGCATTGTGGCCCAGGTGAAGCTCAATCCGCAGCGCATCCGGCTGCTCAGTGACTCGGAACGGCAGCGCCTCAATATGCAGAGCACAATACAGAATCATCGGCACATGCATTTGCCGGCCCGCCGCATGGTGCGCCAGATGAGCATGTGCCGCAGTGGAGATGACGACGGCAGCGATGAGGATCTGGGCATGGAGCCGAGCACCTCCGCCGCGGCACGCAGCCAGCAAGTGCGCCGGGCAAACCGACGCGCCCTCAATCTGGAGAACATCCTACGGATGGGCGAGAGCGAGATGGAGGATGAGGACAGCAGCGACTCGCATCGACCGCGTGCCTCTGGCAGCACACTCAGCAAATTCGAGCAGCTTGCCGCAGGCATCCGCAAGCGTCGAGCCCGGTCCAACTTCAACGAGAATGGGCCATCCACTTCGGCGGCGGCCGCTGCAGCTAGGCGCCACTCGAGCGCAGCTCTCGATGGAGTCCTCGACTACGAGGACGACGACGACGACGTCGACGACGATGATGCTGATGACGATGATGACGATGATGACTCTAACGGGGTCACCGATTGCAACCGGAAGGTGGTCACTAAGCTGACGACTCGGACGCGGATCTTTCTGGCCACCGTGTTGCGCTTCAAGAGGAACTTGAAGAGGCGCAACTCCTCCAGCTGCAGCAATTTGTTTGTCATCTAAAAGGAGTGAGTGTCCAACTGAGGTATAGACTGATTGTATATTGGGGAAACCAAACCATAGAGCAGGGCAGCTGGAGCAGATCGGAGGAAACATCGATGAGGCCGTGTCAAATAAAAATCAGAATGTGGCTTAGCCACGCAAATAAGTAAATATGACTTGCAAAATACTAAATACTAGATTAAGCTAAGCTAGAATATTCGCATGGTAGCTAGAATAGTTTTTTTTTTTTTTTTTTTTGAATAGGATAAGTCTATACATATATATATGTATATATCTATAAGTCTATACTATATACTCGCTGGTTCGTTTTGACAGTGACAACTGATCAAATTGAGCTTTTTGCATAGAACCATCAAGGATTCTATGTCCTTTTCGGCGTGCCGAAATTCGAATCCTACATATTGATTACAAAATCTGAAAACTACAGGGAATATTTTGGCCTGCTGTCCGTTTGTTCAAACAAATCAAAAACGTCTCCATTTTCATATAGTTTCTCTAGTTTGCAATTAATCGATAAGTTTATCGATATTTAATGCCACATCCTCTGCCTATGTCACAAACCAAATCAATTCAAATCCAAAATGCGTTTCGTTGCATTACAATTTCAGCTGCTGTTGTTTTCGTATCGTTTCTCTAGTTTGCAATTAATCGATTAGGTTATCGATAGTCAATAAAAGTCAAATCAAATCTAAAATTACAAATTACAAATATCCAAAAACGTTGGATAACAAGTGTTGCTGTTGTTTTCGTATCGTTTCTCTGGTTTAAAATTAATCGATTAGTTTATCGACAGTTTATGCCCCATGAATTGGCTTTGACAAAATTGAAATCAAATCAAATCTTAAATTCGTTTCGAACAAACACAAATATCCGAAAACGTTGGATAATAAATGTTGCTGTTGTTTTCGTATCGTTTCTCTGGTTTATAATTAATCGATTAGTTTATCGATAATTTAGGCCCCTTCAATTGGCTTTGACAAAATTGAAATCAAATCAAATCTTAAATTCGTTTTGAACAAACACAAATATCCGAAAACGTTGGATAATAATTGTTGCTGTTGTTTTCGTATCGTTTCTCTGGTTTAAAATTAATCGATTAGTTTATCGACAGTTTATGCCCCATGAATTGGCTTTGACAAAATTGAAATCAAATCAAATCTTAAATTCGTTTCGAACAAACACAAATATCCGAAAACGTTGGATAATAATTGTTGCTGTTGTTTTCGTATCGTTTCTCTGGTTTATAATTAATCGATTAGTTTATCGATAATTTATGCCCCATCAATTGGCTTTGACAAAATTGAAATCAAATCAAATCTTAAATCCGTTTAGAACAAACACAAATATCCGAAAACGTTGGATAATAATTGTTGCTGTTGTTTTCGTATCGTTTCTCTGATTTAAAATTAATCGATAAGTTTATCGAAAGTTTATGCCCCATCAATTGGCTCTGACAAAATTGAAATCAAATCAAATCTTAAACCCGTTTTGAACAAACACAAATATCCGAAAACGTTGGATAATAATTGTTGCTGTTGTTTTCGTATCGTTTCTCTGGTTTAAAATTAATCGATTAGTTTATCGACAGTTTATGCCCCATGAATTGGCTTTGACAAAATTGAAATCAAATCAAATCTTAAATCCGTTTTGAACAAACACAAATATCCGAAAACGTTGGATAATAAATGTTGCTGTTGTTTTCGTATCGTTTCTCTGGTTTATAATTAATCGATTAGTTTATCGATAATTTATGCCCCATCAATTGGCTTTAGCAAAAATTAAATCAAATCAAATCTTAAATCCGTTTTGAACAAACACAAATATCCGAAAACGTTGGATAATAATTGTTGCTGTTGTTTTCGTATCGTTTCTCTGGTTTATAATTAATCGATTAGCTTATCGATAATTTATGCCCCATCAATTGGCTTTGACAAAATTGAAATCAAATCAAATCTTAAATCCGTTTAGAACAAACACAAATATCCGAAAACGTTGGATAATAATTGTTGCTGTTGTTTTCGTATCGTTTCTCTGATTTAAAATTAATCGATAAGTTTATCGAAAGTTTATGCCCCATCAATTGGCTCTGACAAAATTGAAATCAAATCAAATCTTAAACCCGTTTTGAACAAACACAAATATCCGAAAACGTTGGATAATAATTGTTGCTGTTGTTTTCGTATCGTTTCTCTGATTTAAAATTAATCGATAAGTTTATCGAAAGTTTATGCCCCATCAATTGGCTCTGACAAAATTGAAATCAAATCAAATCTTAAACCCGTTTTGAACAAACACAAATATCCGAAAACGTTGGATAACAATGTTGCTGTTGTTTTCGTATCGTTTCTCTAGTTTACAATTAATCGATTAGTTTATCGATAGTTTTGGACCATCTTTTGGTAGTGTCATAAGTCTAACCCATTTAAAGTTAAAATGCGTTTCGACCAAATACAATTATCGAAAATGCTGTTTTTTCGTATCGTTTCTCTTGTTTGAAATTAATCGATACGCTTATCGATAGTTTATACCCCGCCCATGTTCAAATATTCATTAAAGTCCCTTTCGGGGCGAGACGGCGCTGCCGCTGCTAGCTACAGAAAAAACTGACAATAATTTTTCAAACTTTTTGAGACATTTTCAAATGAAATTAAACAAAAAAAATTCCAAAAATTTATCGATTTACGATAAAGACACTAAAAACATGCTGGCTGTCTGGCAATGCCGTCAACAACAACAGCAACAACAACAACAACAGCAACAACAACAACAGCAACAACAACAACAACAACAGCAACAGCAACAACAACAACAGCAACAACAACAACAGCAACAACAACAACAGCAACAACAACAACAGCAACAACAACAACAGCAACAACAACAACAGCAACAACAACAACACCAACAACAACAACAGCAACAACAACAACAACAACAACAACAGCAACTACAATAACAACAGCAGCAACAAAAAGATTATTATTTGAATTTTTGTTTCGCTTAGTATTACATATGATTTCTCTATTATTTAGATTTTTTATTTACATTCATTTACTTTTTATTTAATATCTGGATCAAAAATAACACATTTGGTGGGCAAACATGGTATACGAATATAAAAGCCCAACGTATACCTTAGCTCGCATTTAACATCATTCACTTATTGGGCATCCTTTGTTTAAACAAATTACATCAAAAAGAAAACGAATGAGCATATTCGGCACACCGACTATTTAATACCCTTGTAGTACGGCAAAGAATGATGCAGCTTTAGTAAACAGAAAACTTTCTCAGATAAAAAGACATATATTGCTCGATTTTCGAAAGAATATTTTCATATCCTTTTTAATATCTCTCATTGAGATAGAAATAAATTGGTAGACTGAAAATATTATTGGATCGATTCTTCCTATACAACTACATATGTTAAAGTCGTCCGATTTTAATAGGTTTCCCTCTCCATCAAATGATTATACATATATATTCTCATAGTCTCTACAAAGGTATAAGAAAATTGGATTTGGATTGGTTTCGAGTGACGAACTTCATTTGTGTGTGTGTTTTTTGGGTCAAGACCGAGTCGAGCTGCTCGACTACGGCATACCCTGCACGGAGTTCGGTAAAAGGCGCGTCAGACCAGACTGACCTAGCGAGAGCAGCTTTTTGTCTTTTTTCGTTTTTGGAAGGTGAGCCCGGCACTCATCCACACACTTTGCAGCAACTAAGTAAATTAAAGAAATAATTAATTGCATAATGAGCAAAAATAATTATTAATGAAAAAAAAATAATGTTTACCCAAAAATTACTTTAAGCATAGATGTCGTTTACAATTCTTTGTGCTGTACTTAAGAAATATGAAACTGGATAACAGGGTCTGGCAAGAGCAGGCACAGCAAATCAGTCGAGCCCAAATTAAGATCAAGGAACTGTCACATGGGGGGAATTCGAACGGACAGCCAGGGCTGCGAATTTGTCCCTGGCTTCGCTCAACATTCGAGCCAGACTCGTTCCATTAAAAAGGTTTCCCACCGGATCTGGTTCGACCCGTGCTGACCCGATCAATTCCCGTTCGTAGTAGAAATATATGTTGTTTTAGCTTTCAATTTAGCTTGCCAAACGAAACTAATTTTGGAAAAGAAAACTTTAAATATAGCATGGCTACCGTTTCAGGCTTAGTTGGGCTGGTTTTTTTTCAAAAACTGGTTCAGTTCGAGAACACAAAACCGATTCGCAGCCCCGGCTCAAACTCAGCCCTCAGCAGTTCCAAAACTTATTCGCAGCCTGCTCTTCCCACTTGTTAGTATTAAATATAACAGCTTAACCTATTTGATGTCTAAGAAAAAACATTGCCCACTTGCTATATCTAGAGTTTTACACAATGCTTTGGATTCAGATTGCATGTTTTTTTTTCCGATATTTTAACTCTCAATGAACATTAAGAATATGCGGCAGCATCACACCAACAGACAGACATACATGCATGCATATGTTTACATCGCCGTCATTGCATCGCAATCCATCAATCAATCAATCAGACGCATACCATTCAAAACCATCTGGGGTAACCCAACACTGGACGCAAACTGAAAGCGGGGCAAGAAGAGGTAGGCTGGCTTAGCAGGGGGGTTGGATTTGAAAGTTCGCCCAGATACATATATATGTGAAGAATTTAATCGAATATTACATGTGTGCATGGCCAGAGATAGCTATACATCACGGAAGATAATTCATATATGTATGTATCCCCAAGCCGCCACAGAGAACTGCAAAAGATTGACAGGGGATTAAATATAAGTACATACATATACATATATATATCCCAACGTGCAATGGTTGCGATCGTATGTTTTTTGAGGTAGTAGCGAAAATTGATATTTTAATTAGGCCTAATCTGAGGAAAGAATATTGCTCTCGTATGTGCATGATTTTATATTCTATATAACTGCGATATAGATACATATATAATAAGAACTGCGAGAGCAGGAAGTGTTTTTTGTCGCAAAATATTTGCCAGAGAATTGTCAAGTGTGTTTGAAAGCTGCGCCATAAAAAAAAAAAAAAAAAAAAAAAAAAAAACTAAACGGAATTGGAGAAAAAAAAACGAGAGCGAGAGAGAGACAGTGTGAGAGCGAGTAAGCGAGAGAGGGAGA